TCTTGCCGGGAAGACTGGAGGCATGTCCTGGGGAATGCGCGGGCAAATGTTCCCCTGTTCCTGATTGGCGGGGGCGGGGCGCGGGGCGGGCAGCGGATCCTAAGCCAGCGGATCTTTGCGGGTGCCCCTCATGCCTACCTAACCCTAATTAGAGCCCAATGGAATCTAAATTATCTGCCGAAAATGACCTGAAAGCTTACGGTGTTGTCGTTGAGGTTGAGGAACGTCTGAAGAATGCGTTGAATCTTCGATTAATTTTTTGAACAATATTCGTAGTGATTTTTTGTTCAAAGAGAAAAATGTTTTTCAAACTATTCTTGATTATTTTGGTAAAAGAATAAATATTTTTCAGAATGTTCGTCATGTTTATGTAAAAGCAAAAAAAAAATGTTTTAGACTGTTGCAGCGGGAATGTTGAATCTGGCAGTCGCGCTTTGTCGACCCAAGGACGACCTTTTTCCCTTCGAAGCAATTCGTGTGACTAAGGTAAGTAATATAACGTGTTGGCTCCATGAGAAAACCCCGCGGGTCCTAAAAATCTCGTGGGGTACGAAAATCCCATAACCTGTGAAGCCTGTTTTGGTAACTAAAGTAAGCGATAGTGTGTTGACAAATTCTGAATTGTTTTCATGTGTGACTGTACAGCAGCTTTGAAGTCAAATTTTATTCACAAGGTTTCTATGTTTGAATGGTCAAAATCATTGTAAGATGACATTTTATAAATTTATATGCTTCCAAGAATAACAGAGTCTTCCATATTTGTATCAGTGTTACAGTATTTGGCAATTGCCAAAAAATAATTCAACTCCGGGGGTGAGCCTGACGAGATTTTCGGGCCTACGAATTTTCTCTCTGGCGGGATTTCTCCTGTACCCAGCGTGTTTAGTCAGTGCATCTGACTGAAGCGTTTCTTCTTTTCCTTCTTTTGCTTAGATCTTGTGTGTGATATTCAGCACTGGCTCTGTGATAGCTTGTCTTTGCTCCTCTGGTTTCTCCGGCATCCATTTGGTTCTGCAGCTCGACTTTAACTGCATAGAAATCGCCACCACTGATGCTGCTCCACCCGTGGACAGGATTTCTTCAATTCTCGATTCCTCCCTTGACCACGAAGACGTTTCTCGCGATTACGACGAAATCCGAGTCACGTCATCATCATCTGTCAGACCGTCAGTGCTTCCGAGTGACAAACATTACGCTGCAA